AAGAACAAAACGATTTTTAAGTCAAACAACATCTTAGAAAAATGCCCATGGACATGGTTTGAACTGCATACATGAATGAAGTATATGGCATGAAAATTATTGGTATTCTTGATGAACAAAAAGAAAATCTGTGATGTGGGTATGATTTTTGTAATAACGACGTATCCCTCCCTTTGAAAAAAATATGGGATACTTATTTAAAATAACAAAGTTCGTGTGAGTTGCAAGCAAGACGAGAAAGTTGAGACTGACACCAGGCGATTCCTATCCAAAATTAATTTCGGTTTATATAACACAATTTGTTGCTAAAGATTGGTTTCCGAAGAAAATGGGTGAAACATAGAAGTTGATACATCCCGCATATATTTATATGCAATATACTATTATCGTTTAATCCGAACTAGAGTGAATCTACGTCATATTGCTTTGTTATTTATACTTTATTATAGGGAAAATCCTGGCTAACGTCAGAACGGGCCTCAATCAAATTACGGCCAGTTAATAAAACGTTTTTTCTTATCCCGCCCGTTCCATTGACTTTTTTATCTCAACTAAAAACCTTAATTAATTGTAATATATTAATTGGTCAAGCGGACCAGGAAATTAATGAATTTAATGATTAAAAATGAAGTATACTTCACTAAAGCTCTCCGTGGCCATTTCATTTGTCGTCGAGAATCCAATCCGATTACACGACATTTGAAAAATGGCAAGAAGGAGGAAAAATTCAAAACGTGGGTTTGAGATGGGAAGTTAGTCTACGAGTGGATCGAGGTCACGATAGCTCAAGTGGTAGATAGGTTTTTATTATATTTAACTTTTCTAAAGTCTAAAACGTAATTTTCTTTCTAACCTCAATTGATTGGACCTGGTCAACTACATTTTGTAGACTACTTTTCGAACAAATTAAAACATACCATTTATAAAATATAATTTATAAAATTTTATTCCTATTTTTCTAAACAGTGAGTAACGTAAAAAAGAAATGTGGAAGTGATTTAGGTAGTACAGTATTGGGTTGCCTCATACTCGTAATAAATTTATAATAAATAAAACTTTGACATCAGAATAAGGATAAATGGGCGTGAAAGGCTAAGACCCCATACAACAAAAGAGTTAATCCCCCTTTCTAAGCCGTGAGGAAATTCTTCTTTTTTACGTTTATAGCTTGTTACTAGTTCCATATTCGAATTAAACTAAATATTTGTGACTTATAAAATCATATTAACATTTCCTTTATTTTATTTGTCACTACAATTCAGCTGCAAAACATTACGCTCACTTAAATTTTTATATGTTATGCCACAAATTACATATTATTAGCGTTTCAAATTTAACAAAGGTATATCACGCTCGCTGCTAATTAGACCGTAAACCGTTAAAGATCTTGGTATCATTATTGAAAGCCAATAAACTTTCAAACGCAAATTAGTAAAACTATTGGTAAAGCAAATAAAATTTTAGGATAAGGACTAATGTGTAGAGATTAGTGACCGTTAATCGATAGTTATTCAGATATCGTGAGATGCGGTCGGGTGTGATGTAGGTTTCAGAAAAACATTTTCTTTATCGTGCCAACGTTTCGATCTTTTATTGAGATCATCTTCAGGGCCTGGGATTTACAAACAATGTTTACATTTAACAAATACATTTAGGATGTGGATAAGTGAATTTATACAATGCAAAATATATTTTATATTAAAAACAAAGTATTACACAGAAGACAAACACTTTGAGTGAGTAGAAATACTTTGTTTTTAATATAAAATATATTTTGCATTGTATAAATTCATTTATCCACATCCTAAATGTATTTGTTAAATGTAAACATTGTTTGTAAATCCCAGGCCCTGAAGATGATCTCAATAAAAGATCGAAACGTTGGCACGATAAAGAAAATGTTTTTCTGAAACCTACATCACACCCGACCGCATCTCACGATATCTGAATAAATAAGGACTAATGTTTTCAAACCTCAATGGATTGGACCTGGGCAACTACGTTTTTGTAGACTACATTTTCGAATTCTACGTTTATGAACAAATTAAAACAAACCATATATAAAATATATATATTCCTATTTTTGTAAATACTGAGTGTGGAAAAAAAGAAATGAAGAACTGATTTACGTAATACAGTATTGGGTTGCCCCACACTCATAACAAATGTTAATAAATAAAACTTTGACATCAGAATAAGGAGAAAGGGGCGTGAAAGACTAAGACCCCATACAACAAAAGAGTTAATCCCCCTTTCTAAGCGGAAGGAAATTCTTCCTTTTTTACATTTATAACTTGTCACTAGTTCCTTATTTGAAATAAAAAATCCATTTGTGATTTATTATTTATTTTATTTGTATTTACATTACAACTAATATATTACAATTTAGCTGCAAATCCTTAAACTCACTTAATTTTTGATAATACTTTATTCTAACAATTAAATATTATTAGCCTTTGTTAATTAACAAAGGTACACCACGCTCGCTCTAAATTAGACGGTAGAACGTTAAAGATCTTGGTTTCATTATTGACAGCCAATATACTTTCAAACGCAAATTAGTAAAGCTATTGGTAAAGCAAATAAAATTTTAGAATATATTACAAGCTGGACTAAAGCTTTCATCATTCCGATGCAATTATACATTTATTCATTTTCTCCGTTAGACCAATATTTTATTACTGTCCACCTATTTGGGATCCCTTCTGATCCACCGGTATCGGAAGATTAGAAGGCTTTGCAAAAATGTTTACGCCTGATAGATTACCGAATATATAAGCATATAAAATAAATGTTAATGCACTAAACATACAGTTTTAGATTAATTTGAATTTATTTTGTGGCGAGTTTTATAGTACGATATCAACACCTATTTGAACTAACAAAATTTATTTATTTTTATGAATACCACAAGAACAGCTAAACAATACAAAACGTGTAATATCTGGCTGAGATCTAATACAAGAACGTCGGAAAATGATCAACTACCCTCCGACGACAAAAAACTTTAGTCTTTAAAAGAGTTGACAGACAAAAATTATGTCTTCTGTCTAATTCTGAAGTAAATACAATTATTTGTTTGCATACAGAAATCCCGTCAGCGTGGCTTTTTCTGTGACGTGACTGCAGTTATTTTCAAATTTTATTGAGGGTATGTTTGTCGAATATTCGAATTGTGATAGACGAGAAAAAGTCAAAAACTCATTAGTTTTAATAAAAAATATTTAATTATGATGTTTTGAACGAAAATTTAGAAAGAACAAAAAAATGTATGTAACAATTTATACTATCGCTAAATTATTTACGGTTTACTTGGTGAAATGTTTATCTAAACATTACCATTCAACATTTTTCGATCAAACAAATGTTTAATACTGTGGACAGTAATATTAGTACATTGTCTTTTACATAACGATATAAATATTTTGAAATAAACAAAACAAAATATTTAACATAAATAACACAAAAATATTTTAAAATATATTACTTGCTATACTAAAATTTGCATGAATCTAAGAGACTTAAAATTTTATTCATTTTCTCTTTCAGACCAATATTTTATTACTGTTCACATATTTTGGCTCCCTTTTAATCCAACCATATCGGTAGCTTAGAAGGCGTTACAATAATTGTTATGCTTGATATATTACCGATTATGCAAGGATATTCAATAAAAATTAATGCATACAGTTTTAGATTAATTTGAATTTATTTTGTGTCGAGTTTTATAGTACACACATTTAAACAAAGAAAATTAATTTAGTTTTATTAATATCACAATAAAACCCTATACACTACAAAACATGTAATATATGACTGAGAACTACTACAAGAACATAGGAAAATGTTAACAACGGAACAGGAATCCCTTCAGCCTGGCTTGGAACCTGACGTGACTGCAGTTATTGTCAAAACGTATTGACTGTATGTGTGTTTGTGTCAAGACAGTGAGACGGAATTAGAGTAACCAGTTGGGGTCTCTAATCGATTAATGTATTTATTAGCTCACTATATTTTAAGGTAGCACATTACCTTTGCCTCCTTACAATGGAATTCATTAATTTAAAAAAATACTAAAATAAAATAATAATTTAATAAATGTTATATTTATTTAATAAATAATAAATTGTAAAAAAACGTATTGAATTTCTGATTTCACAATGGTATAAAAGGGTCCTTTCGTCACAGGAAGAAGGAGTGAAATAATTGTGACAGGTGGCTGAGTATATGGCTTTACACTGGTTGAATGTATTTATTAGTGTGATTGAGGTGATGTATACTCTGCTGGCTTGCAACTGAAGTTTTGTAAATAACGGCGAATATTTTACATAAGTTTTAGTACTTCTGCCAATAAGTGGAACAACATAAATGTGTAAATGTAGTCATGCACATGACACTGGGGCACAAAGTCCGGGGTGGAATGGTCGAATATAGATAGCAGCACTTTAATCAGCAATTAGTAAAAACTGCGAAAAGGAATATAAGAGAGGAGCCGGCAGGACCATTGGTGTTTGAAAAATGAAGTGGAAAGCTTTTTGTGAACCTATACCTCATTTTACTTATTAAATTCACCCGTTTTCGTGGTCCGCTTGACGAAATCTATTTGGCGCCGAGAAACAAATATAATCCACATTTGAAAAATGACAAAATAGAGGGAACATTCAAAAGGTCAGGTTGAGATGGGAAGATAACGTCCGAGTGGATCGAAGTATATAGCCGAAGGCCGCGGGTTCGAATCCCGCTTGTGACGCTCACTTTTTATCTCAACTGATACCTTAAATACAGGTTAACTACCAATTACATTTTGCTATACGTTTTATAATACGATAAGTGAAATATGGCAGGTAAAAAGGAAAATCAATTTAAAAAAATACAAATTTATTCATTGATAGACAATAGCCAAGTCAAAAGAACTAATTATAACAAATGTTAAACAAAACAATAAACAAAAACCAAACCATTAATCATCTTTATACAATTATGCTTCGTATTATTTACAATTCGTCAAACATAAAAATTCACAGAATTTTTTCCAGAGTTCTTTTATAAAGTGGAGAAGGCAGAGATGATGTCGCACATTTTGTCGTCGAAACCCGACGTTAAAAGTACATCTTTGTCGTACTTAATCGTCCGGTCGTTCAGGATGCCACCCAGGCTACAGAAGGCAAATTTTGGCGCCCGTGACTTATCTCTTCGATGGTCCTGAACGTATTTAATGTAATTCTCGTGATTTATGCTTGCGCCGATGACGACGAAAAGATCCGTGTAGAGTGTTTCGCCGTTCTTAGGGCTGAGGTAGAGTCCTATTTCTCTCGTACTTGAGCATTCCTGCAAATGTTACGATTAGTAATGAATCGAGAATTGGTAAATGAAAATAAGAAGAAAACGAAAACGCAACTCACCCTAGTATCGGTGCCTATATTGTTTACAAGCTCGTCTACAGTCGTGCCCCGTTGTAAGTATTGATATTTGATCTCTTTGAAAACAAGCACCCTGTTGTTGGCTGATGCGTTTCCGAAGTACAAGGCAATTTGAGCAGCCGCTATATCAGCCTGAACAGACGGTGAACATCTACAATATGATCTTGACAGCTTGTAGCAATCTACAATAACAGTAATGTTCTTGGTCGTTATTTTGACGTTTTTCTGTAAAATAAAAGAGAAAAAGCATAAGAGATATGAAAACGGAAAGAACAACAAAAATATAACTATGTAATGAGAAACTATTTCATTTACTCACCTGAAAAGCGTTCCGTAATTGTTTCTCTCGTACAAGGGTCTGGTTAGACGTGTGTATGTTATGCGTGGAAGCTCCATTCTCTCTACAAAATCAAAAATAAAACGATAACAGTAAAGTATCATTTTTAACACTAATAAATAATTATATGAGCAATACTAACGTGATAGCTTCATCCGTGTCGGTTTTACTCTTGAAAGCTTCGAACCGGTTCAGATGTTCGACGACGTCTCGAGCCTCTGCGTTGTTTCCGTACTGTTGGTTCATTAACTCCACACCTCCAATCGCGTAAGCGAAAGCAGCTCCCATCGATGGACATGAAGAATTGACATTGGCCAATTTTATAAGGTCTCTGTGGTACCATCCGTAGCAGCAAGGTCTCTCGCTCACTATTTCGACCAATTCCCAACAGTCCAGTCGTAAGTACCATTCTCGAATGAATTTCGTGACGAGTGGGCCATTTCCGATTTCCGGTAAAATTTCGAAGGAGAATTTACAAAACATCAAGAATTCCTTGTCTGTTCGAAGAACAGTCAAAGCCATCTCGAACGCCTCTTCTTTCCAACCGGATAATTTACAGCACTCGGAGACCACTAATGGCACAATACATACGTGCGAAGCTACCTTCTCTTCCTGTACAAACTTGACCCATTCGGAGATCTTCTTCTTGTCGACTTGGTTCAACAGGTTCCTCAATGAAGTTAGATTGGAACCCAGGAAATATCCGTATTGAACTCTGCCACCCGAAAAATATACGATCTCCTCGCTGCCGTACAGAAGAAATCTCTTCAATTTTGACTCGGCGATCGATCTGAAATTAGAAAGCATGTTATTTACTGAAATAAATATATGTACTTATGAAATAAAACAAACACTATCTGTTAGATTATGAACTTTTTTTTAATTTGCACGTTTCCAGAATTTGGATTTTGATTAAAAGTAACACCACACTTACCTTTCAGACATGTTGATTTCGAAACGCAGAAACTGGTCTTCCAAGAAGTAGTTGACGACTTTCAATGTAGAACGATTGGCAATCAAATAGTGCAAATTGAGTGAAAATACCCTTTTTAATACCTGTCCTTGGTAGGGGGCGGGAGGAGTGGCCTAACTTCCAGGTTTCTTACCTGTCCATCCTTTCCCTTATTGGTATTACAAGGAACAAAGCAACCTTGCATCCTGTGCAAATTCAACTGTTTAAAAGTATAAAATATATCATTTTTGTTAGATATATACTTTTTTAAATTATTCAAAATACATTAATAATAATTTTAATTTTGCTTGATTGGTTATTGGTTGAAGATAATTATTTTCGCAATTTCGAATGATTACTACTGCAAACACTGTATTTATTACGGGTGACGACTTAGATATAAAAATTATAATTAATAATAAATAAATTAAATATTGTATTAAATTGACAACTTTTGTCATTGATATACGCCACGAAGAAGGTCGAGTAATCTGGGTGAATGAATGTCAGCAGAGTATGTTTGAATGAATCATATTATATATGTATTAAATACAATTATGAAACTAGCATTATTGACTATCATCTGAATTTTAGCATGTGGGAGTTTGGATAAAATTCATGTATCCTGTTTATGTCGTTTCAAGGGCTCTTACAGGGAACGAGTTTTTACTTCAATATTGCTGTATCTAGTATTTCTCAGAAAAATTTTTAATTTTAGTTTACAACCGATAATTAATTAAAACTACACTATTCCGTTTACAACATTTAACTTGTTGTAGCTGATTATCTAGTCACTCCCTAGTGTGCTTACATATATAGAAAAAAATTGCTTTATTTGTGGGCCGTTTTCTCCAAATCAACAACCACAAATTTTATTGAACCGTTTACAGGATATCCGCCGTCCTTTTATACATTATAAACAGAATTAGATTTGTAATTCAATTTATATTATCCTACTCACAGTAAGTTGTTTTTAACGAATTGGATTTCGAGGTAATAGCTCATAATCAGGTTCAAAATGTTCTACAACCACGTCGCTCGAACATTGGTTGCAACACTGCAAGTTTTCACATAAAGCTGTTATGTATTTAAAAGTACAACTAAGTGCACATAAAAAGCTACTAAATATAATTTTTAATTAATATAAGCTAGGCTTCAAAGAACCCTTTGATCCCTACACTATTCTTATGCGATTCCTACCTTAAAAAAAACTTTCTAATACCAATCATTTTCGAAATAAATGGGGAGGCTGTAGTTACAAGAATCATACTATAGGCAGAACTATGAAATGGTCGAATCTTCCAAATGTTTCCTTTCAGTAAAAGTATTATAAAATAAGCTGAACTATCGAATTGTACGATAAAAATGTTCAATACATTTTTTATGTCCTATACACGGGAATCTCATTTAACATAACAAAGGTGGTTTCATTTCCAAGCTAGATGAGAAAGTTAGTCAACACCTTACTACCACGCGATTCCTAGCCAAAATTAACTTGGGTTTGTGAAAGACGATTTGTTGCTAAATTTTATCGATTCCAAAGAAAGTGGTTGGAATATAGAAGTTGATTCACCCCGTATATGTTTATATGCAATAGACAATGGACAAACAAACAATGCAATATAATTTATTATAAGTAAAAACCTGGCTAACGTTAGATCGCGCCTCACTCAAATTACGGCCAGTTAATAGAACATTTTTTATTCTATATAACTTTTCTAATGTCTAAAACGTAATTTTCTTTCAAACCTCAATTTATTGGATTTGGTCAATTTCTTTTTTCCAGACTACATTTTCGAATTCTACGTTTATGAACAAATTAAAACAAACAAAATATAAAATATATTTAAAAAGTTATTCAGATATCGTGAGATGCGGTCGGGTGTGATGTAGGTTTCAGAAAAACATTTTCTTTATCGTGCCAACGTTTCGATCTTTTATTGAGATCATCTTCAGGGCCTGGGATTTACAAACAATGTTTACATATAACAATTACATTTTGAATGTGGAAAAGTGAATTTATACAATGCAAAATATATTTTATATTCAAACAAAGTATTTCTACTCACTCAAAGTGTTTGTCTTCTGTGTAATTGTGCCATCCTTGTGTGTCGTGTTGAGAGTGCCAGTGAGATTTTGCTGTTTCATGTTTATATACCGACTTCCTTCCCCACCTCCTCAAAACCAAACATATATAAACATGAAACAGCAAAATCTCACTGGCACTCTCAACACGACACACAAGGATGGCACAATTACACAGAAGACAAACACTTTGAGTGAGTAGAAATACTTTGTTTGAATATAAAATATATTTTGCATTGTATAAATTCACTTATCCACATCCTAAATGTATTTGTTAAATGTAAACATTGTTTGTAAATCCCAGGCCCTGAAGATGATCTCAATAAAAGATCGAAACGTTGGCACGATAAAGAAAATGTTTTTCTGAAACCTACATCACACCCGACCGCATCTCACGATATCTGAATAACTATCGATTAACGGTCACTAATCTCTACACATATATTTAAAAAAATGTATTCCTATTTTTCCAAACAGTGAGTGAGGAAGAAACGAAATGTAATTTACGTAATACAGTATTGTGTTGCCCCACACTCTTAACAAATCTTAATAAATAAAACTTTGACATCACAAAAAGGAGAAAGGGGCGTGAACGCGTAAGACCGCATACAACAAAAGAGTTAATCCCCCTTTCTAAGCCGGAAGCAAATTCTTCCTTTTTTACATTTATAACTTGTCACTAGTTGTATATTTGAATTAAAAACATTTGTGACTTATAAAATCATATTAACTTTTCCTTTATTTTATTTGTCACTACAACTCAGCTACAAAACATTATGCTCACTTAAATTTTTATATGTTATGTCACAAATTACATATTATTAGCGTTTCAAATTTAACAAAGGTATATCACGCTCGCTCCTAATTAGACCGTAAACCGTTAAAGATCTTGGTATCATTATTGACAGCCAGTAAACTTTTAAACGCAAATTAGTAAAACTATTGGTAAAGGAAATAAAATTTTAGAATATATTTCATGATATACCAAAACTTGCATGAACCTGGGAGACAAAATTTTATTCATTTTCTCCTTAAGACCAATATTTTATTACTGTTGATTTATTTGGGCTCTCTTTTAATCCAATCATATCGGTAGCTTAGAAGGCGTTACAAAAATTGTTATGCTTGATATATTACGTATTACGCAAGCATATTCAATAAAAGTTCATGCATACAGTTTTGATAAATTTAAATATGTTTTGTGTCGAGTTTTATAGCAAACATATTTAAAATAATACAATTTATTTATTTTTCTTAATATCACAATAAACACCTATACACTACAAAACATGTAATATATGACTGAGAACTACTACAAGAACGTTGGAAAATGTTAACACCGGAACAGAAATCCCTTCAGCGTGGCTTTGTCCCTGACCTGACTGCAGTGATTGTCAAAAATTATTGAAGGTACGTGTGTTTGTGTCAAGGCGACTCTGAGACGGAAGTACTGTGATTTATGGACACTAGTTAGTATGTAGGATTGAAAGAATTGTGACAGACGGCTGAGTACACGGATTGAAAGTTTTTAATCTGGGTGAATATATTAATTATTTTGATTCAGGTTATGTACACCCTGCTGGCTTCCCAACTGTACTTTTGCAAATAACAGCATTTATTTTATATTTGTTTTAGTACTTCTGCCATTTAATTAATTGGAACAACATAAATGTGTAAATGTTGTCATTTATAACATTTAACACTGATTTTGGGACAAAGCCCCGTGTCGATTCGTTGAATATAAATGGCAGCACTTTTATCAGTAATTATGAAAAAATGCGAGATCGAAAATAAGAGAGGATCCGGCATGGCCATAGGAGTTAGTCCGAGAAAAAAACACCTCAAACCTGAATAATGCACATATTTTCTTTAAAGAATTAAATTTACTATTGACAGAGACGCAATTGTTAACTTGCGAACAGAATTCTCATATATGTGACGTAGACTGACATTTTTATTTTTAATTATTTTGTAAAAAGGAGGAGAAATGTAAACATTCATTTCAACAAGTTCAGAACAGATCTCGATTTGATTTACCCAGTTTTGTTGGAATAGGCATCCCTTTGATGTCAGAGATTATATTTTGCATATCTGGTATGACAACCTCATTTCTAGTGTGCATGGACAGAATTCCGACCGGTTTCCGGCTGTATGCAAATCTTACTTTGAATGGCAAAATAACCGATCTATAGGAAGGCGTGTATTCTAAAAGTAGTCTGATTTCTGTTAGACGAGAAAAAGACAAAAGCTAATAAATTCTTATTCTTCGTACACGGAAAAACTCTCGCGTGCAATTGTCCTGCAAATGAAACATGAATAAAGTTATCAAGTTACAGACTGATGATGATAAGAAGAAAATTTCAAACACAACTTACCCAGGTATCGGTGCCGATATAATCAACAAGCTCCTCTAAAGATATCCGAGGCTCTATATATTCAAGAGTAATGCCTTTGAAAACAAGCAAGCAGGCGTTTCCAGCGGTTTGTGCTAAGTGCAAGGCAGCTACAGCAGCGGCCATGTCAGCATGAACAAACCGTTTATAGTTACAATAGGATGTAGATAGATTGTGGCAATCGATGATGACCATAACGCTCTTAGACGTTTTTTCCTCATTTTTCTGGAATAGAGGTAAAAAAACAAATACATATAAAAATCAAGGTACAAATTTTGTATGGATAGTCAAATTATGCGTACGTAAATAGTGTTTGTTTTGTACAGTAACTTATTTTCTTGTTAATTATATTATTGTTGTATACAATAACTAGAAATTCATTTGTATATGCATAGATAATTATTTACAGTAGTTATTTATTAACTTATGATTTTTGAATTACACAATTTATTTGTTAATAAAATCAAGCTTTAAATAAATTGGTTTTGATTGTGTACATATCTGACGGAGGTGATGAGTACGATAACCTGCTATTTTTAGAATAATTGATTAGTATTATGTTGTTCTTGTGAATGTTATTAAGATCACAATTAATTAAGGTTTTTAGTTGAGATGGAAAAAAAGTTAGTGGCAAGAGAGGGATTCGAACCCACGACCTTCGGCTAGATATGCCGCTGCTCTACCAGGGAAAACTCATAAGGTGGGGTTGAGATGGGGAGTTGATGTCCGAGTGGATCGAGGTCACGATAGCTCAGGTGGTCGAGCAGCGGCGTATCTAGCCGAAGGTCGTGGGTTCGAATCCCTCTCGT